TATATATTTTTTTTATTTTTTTTTAACGTTTGTGTGGGTGTTCCCCCAACTCTTAAGTACATTGCTGGCTGTCTGTCGTGCAATAAGTTTTCAGCAGCCATCATCGATGATGTCACTAAGCTTCGACAACGTTCACGTTTGTGTTTGTGCGCTCAGTACATAAAAAATGATATTGCTTTTTGTTTTTGCCCCTCGGACTTCGCCGGCCATCAACTGCTCGCGCGCCTCCGCCGCACTCATATTTTTACTAACAACTATTAGCCGTTTTTACTAACTTTCGGTTTTGTTTTGGTTCAACCTCGGTTTAACTAACCTTTTGGCTGTGTGCAGCCGTTACCGTTAGTTGCACACACACGCATAATCTCACTTTTTACATACTAACCGCCATATTCATAAAATTCGAAATTTATTGAAATTAGCTTGACTGCATTCGAGCGCCGTGAAACTGTAAAATATATGTATATTTATATATATGTAAATATGTTATATATAATTGTATGCAATAAATATGTATATATATATATAGAATACTAAAAATCTGGTGACAAATAAAATATCGAAGCATTAAAATTCGTAAATCAATGCGAATCCATTATTTTATGACACTTGTGAAATTCTACACCAGTTTTAGTTATACCGTTATAAAGCCATTATATTCCATTTACTTACTTATATAATACATATCAGCCAAATTGAAATTATATATACGTATATTTGTAACAATTTTAACATATACATTCACATAAAGATCTAGTTTTGTTTACGCAATAAATATGTTCACAAACATACTTACAAATAACGAAAATATATTTATTTTTTTGGAATTCTTTTCGATTGTGTGTCATTTTTGCCACATCTGCGACATTGATGCATAGGTTATTTGCCCAAAATGGGAGTACTCAGCTACATATATACTTCGATACTCGTTTTATGTGTGAACATGTATGTACATACACATATATATTTGTATTTGAATATGGGATATGTCCAAACATATATGGATGTGTGGCGGTGGTAGCTTCTCCTTTGTCGACATCTCTTTGCTTAATCAGTCATTTAGTCATTTTGTTGGACATTGACTTTTTTTCTACTTTTTTATTCTTTTGCTGGTCATCTCTCAAATGGTAAATGACCTTAAAGAGAAGTTTGACTAGTGTCGCATTTCGCCATTTCGGTGGTTTTGTGGAGACAAGCTTCCATATTCATTACTTAAATTTAGTTTAATTTCTGATATTGCCCAAATTTATTAGTATCTTTTCACTGTATTTTAAGATTTAGTATTAATAAAAATATTTATTTGGAAAGAAACTACAGCAGCAAAACCTCCCGGAGCTCCTCTCAAAAATGAGACGTTGTCTAGGTTAACAATATACGTCGAACTTCGTGAATTTATTTTCTCAAATAAAGAAAAATTTAATTCTAATCTTTTAATTTGTATGGCAGTTACAGCGATTCCGGCGAATGAACAGCTTTTCTTTGGGAGAAAAGAACAAATTTCAGATCCATATCTAAAAAACTGAGGGATTAACAACCGGGCAGACAGAAGATGTCGTTGTTAGTAGCGTTCACCGTTAAGATTTTGCCCGGTTTTAAAAGCTCATAATAGAGCACGGCCTTCAGATCTTACCAAATACAGCGTATTACCTTGACGACACGGATTTTCAGCTGTCTCGTTGATTTAGCTGGTCGGTCAAGCTTTGCATATGGTTTTGTATGCTTTAGGTTATCGTAATAGATCCAGTTTTCATCACCAGTCATAATGCGAAAATGGCTTCTCGTGGTACCATTAAAGCAGCATTTCTGACATGCAAAATCCTTTTTCCAACGTTTTTGCATTGCATATATCCGGTTGTTTTTAAACATGGTGAAATGGTTGCTTGAGTGGCTCCCAAAGTTTCTGCGAGCTCTACTGGAGTTCGGCAACAATCTTCCTCGAGTAATGCTTTCAGTTCTTTAACTTTGAGCTTTTCGGATCGCCTACATCTTACTTCACCTTCCAAGCGAAAATCACCACTTCTAAATCGTGCGAACTAACTCTGGCACGTTCGCTCGGCTAGAGCGTATTCACCATAAACTTCCACCAAAATACGACAAATTTCGGCCTGCCTGCAGAAACATGGTTTTAGATTCAAAATTCAACAAAACTGATTGAAATTCAAATTTGTAGTTTACAAATGAATTTCATAAACTAAAAGCAACGCAAAAGGACAGTTGTCTTTCAACGTTCGGTATATTGGAATAGTGGAATAATAATCAAGTTATGCCATCATTTGGCAATTAGTGCAAATAGTAATCTTACATTTAACTTTATACGTTTTCGGTTAATGGCGTTTTGGTTGGGGAGGCAGTGATCCGATTACGCCCATTTACCAAATTTTTTGACAAGTTATATGAATTTTTACTCAACTCAACTACAGTGACCGGGATTTGAAAATTTCAAATCCTCTCGTCATCCTCATCATTTTATATATAACCCTATAACTAAAAATTAGATCAAATCTATAATACAATTTGAATACAAATCCTAAAGGGTTCTTCAAGATGAAGATCAATCTCGCAATCTATTTGAAGACTAATTCAAAATATAATAATGAAAATGTAGAATACATTTCATATACATTCTATTGAAAGATCAGGGCATAATATTAGGTTGTCAAAAAAGTCTTGGGGTATTTTTATTGAATTCGCCGGACAATCAATCAAACACATGTTAGTGCGTGAAATGAGCTTTCCAAAAAGGTATAGCATGACCCGATGCGACGAATAAAACTAGAACTGCGGGCTCTCAGCTCCAACTAGCGAAAATACCGCAATACTTTTTTGACAAACTAATATGTACACTATAGGCCCAGCTACGAAGTATAGATCCTCAAATCCATCTATACACATAGGCCTCGGATCCTTCTCTTCGATGGACTCATTGTTGTGGTATAGCGTTAGAAATTCTTGGCAATAACATATATTCCAAACGAATTTCCGAGAGTTTTTAGCGCCTCGGTTGTCCAAAGTTCTGTTGGAAAACTTGTGATTATTTCGACTTTTATTTTTATTTTTTTCTAATCATTATATCTACAACATTTATAAGTAATATTACATTATGGGTGACATTGTTATAGATAGCTTTTCTAAATTTCGTTGTTGATAGGTTGCATTTAATTTGTTGTATATAAAGCAGTATTTAGTATATATATAAAAACAGTATTTAGTACATAACGAAACATTACAGATTAAACGTCAAGAACATAGTCACGCCTCTCTGGTTTTCGTCAGGCGGTGTTATTTATCTGAAATGGTTAACCAAAGTGGCCAAAATAGTCTTCTACTTTCTTCCCAACTGCTAACGACAGTTGAGTTAGCAGAAAAATAATGAATGTCTTCATTTACTTCTGTCATTATTTTCAAAGTCAACTTCATAAGCTGAATAAATTGGAGTTTCCTTTTTCATGAAGTTCATCAAGAAATTGAATGAATTGGAAAAGTTTCGCGACGAGCCTCGCAGACATTTCTATATTATTGTTTACAGGATTACATTTCAACTACTGATTTTTGCTATTTACATGTACCGGGTTTTCCAAGAGGGATTATATGATTCTCTTTACATAATGTTCGGCACATAACCGCTCGAAGTATGAAAATATTGCATTCAGACAAGTGTTTCGTTCTCAGGATTCTATAGATAAAGCGTTTTATATTCAGCACTTAATTTCATTGATAGAACTTCATTATTAAATGAAAAAATTTAATTTCTTAACAATTAGTATATATTTTTCTTAAAAAGAAATCATATCACTCTTATTGGAGAACCCTATGTTAGTGTGGCTGTAATGGCGGCGCTCATACTTTTTATTGTGACATTAAAATCTACTTCGTGAAATATTTTATTACAAGAATTTTCCTTCTTATTTTATGCTCCTCCTGTAACAAGTAGGAAATAAAATCAGCATAAACAACTTCTGAAAAAGATTTTCCACAAAGGAAGTAAAATAAAATATGGTCTACACTCAAGCATGTCACTGACCCCGAATGCTTCACAGGCCGCCATACGGATATTTACTTGATAAATGTTTGACCGTGTACAAATTTTGATTTTGATATATGCGATTTTACGGCAGCGTTAGCGCCCGGTTTATAGCCGGCATAAAGATTACGAATGAATTATAATAATTTTGTGGTTGTGCGGCTTTTATCTGCAGGGGAGTTGTAGATATGTATGTCTCCTTTTGCTGGATATGAGTTATGACCAATTGTATGTGCAGGAAATGCCAGCAATCGCCAGCTGTAAGAAGGTGCTGATATTTGGTAGGTCTGCTACTCGTGCTTCCAAATGAGGGAAATCTAAAAAATTTTGTTTAGTTGCTTTATAAAAAGTTTTTTCATAATGTTTGAGTATAAGTTGTTTATGTAAGCTGCACGTCAATAATTTTTCCCGATAATAAACCTGTAAACTGAATAACGGAGTTTTGCTCATAAACACTTTTTCGCTTACTGCCGGGGACAATATGCTTAAAAGCTCCTTGTCACTTATTTTATGATTTTGTATGTATATAAATATAAATAAATATATAAAGGGTGATCCATATCGAGGTTCCCAACTTTTTTGAAGAAAATTATCATATGAAAAAACATTCTTTGCATTTACTTTCTGAAGATTATCTCTTTCAAATGTTGGTCACGGCTACGCCTCATATGGACCATAATATACTCAACTCCGTTGATTTCAATTTTTGATGACTAGTTCGAACTTTTCGACTGCTAACAGGCGAATTGCACGCCTGACTTTATTGCTTCAAGGCCTGAATCGAAACGGAATTGTCTGCATAGACTTTAGATTTTACATATGAAAACGTGAAATTATCTGCTGACCGAAGTGTTTTCTGTATAAATCCATTAATTGACGATGTATGGAAAGT